TTGGGTTCCAATTTTTGGCGGGGTTAGACAAACATTATTGAAATAGGCTCATAAGTCGAAGATTTTAATTCATCCAGAAGCCACGAAGATGTACAGAGACCTAAAGTTGGATTACCGGTGGCCCTGTATGAAGAGGAAGGTAGCATGGTTTGTGGAGTGGTGCTTGACTTGCTGGAAAGTCAAGACCGAACATCAGATAACCTACGACAAGATGCAGTAGTTACCTATTCTCATGTGGAAATGGGAAGATATTACCATGGATTTTATCACAAAGTTGTTGAGGATGGCACGTGGGGTTGATTCTATTTGGTTCATCGTGGATAGATTGACCAAGAGTGCTCATTTCATACCTCTTTTCGATAGCATTTCCACCGAGAAAATGACTGACATCTACATCAGGGAGGTGGTGGTTCGACATGGGGTGCCAATTTTGGTGGTTTCGGATCGAGATGTTTGCTTCACCAGTAGGTTTTGGAAGAAGTTTCATGAGGAGTTGGGTACTCAGTTGCATTTCAGTACAGCATACCACCCCCAGACCGATAGATAGAGTGAGCGGACGATTAAATGCTCGAATATATGCTCAGGGCGTGTGTGCTATATTTTAGAGGGAGTTGGGATACTTATCTTCCACTGGCCGAGTTCTCCTATAACAATAGCTACCATGCCAATATCGATCGACCGCCCTTTAATAGGCTTTATGGGAGGAGATGTTGGACAGTTTGTTGGGGCGAGGTCGGGCACCGAGTTATGGGGAGTACTGAGATAGTACTCAAGACTACCGAGTTGATACAGAAGGTGAGCGATCAGGAACAAACCATGCATAGTCGCCAGAAGAGCTATGTTGATCGGCGACGTTCGGACCTCGAGTTTCAGGTCGGAGATTTTGTGCTTCTGAAGGTATCATCTTGGAAAGGTGTCATTCAATTCCGGAAACGGGGCAAGTTGGGCCCCCGGTTTATTGGACCCTTCAGGATTATTGCCCGGGTGGGCAAGGTTGCGTATCGGCTGGAACTACCTGATGAGCTTCGTCAGATCCGCAACACTTTCCACATCTCTCAGTTGCGGAAGTGTTTAGAATATGATTCAGTAGTAGTGCCCTTAGATGACATTCAGGTTGATGAGCGCCTGAACTGTGTAGAGAGACTGATTGCGATTCTCGACAGGAAGACAAAGACTCAAAGCAACCAATTGGTGAACTTGGTGAAAGTGCAGTGGCGGCATCGGAAGGGTTCTGAGTGCACTTGGGAACCTAAGGGAGAGATGACAGAGCAATATCCGGACTTATTTGTTGCAACGGACTTTGAGGACGAATTCTGATTCAAGTGGGGAAGAGTTGTAACGCCCGTTCCTCAGGTACATTTCCTTATGTTATTTAAAATTTAATATATTGAGAATTTTGGGTCTAAGCGGGGCGTATAAGGCATATACGCAGGGGGTAAGTCATTAAGTGCATGTGGGGGATTCTCTCCCTACGATGGGCGTAATCTTGGTTACGTAGGACGTAGGTACTTAGAGTTCAAACCCTATTTTGAGTGGTTGTGAGCCCTATTTAAAGGCTCTAATCTCTTGAGAGCTTCCACATGCTCAACATCCACTCTCCCAAGCAGTTTTTTCGAAACCCTAATCCCTTGTGAGCTTGTTTTGAGTTTTTTGAGTGCTTTTGGTGCATTTTGAAGAAGGAGAAGTCTATCATTGAGGATTGGTGTGGCTCAAGCGTGAAGATATAGAATGTTCATCTCATTTCCCAACCTCACAAGGTATAAAGTTCTCACCTTTATGATTCATTGGGTTAGATCTAGGTTAGCTTTTTGGTTTGCATGCTTCTAGTCCCATGATTTTTTTCTTGAGATTAAGAGCTACTCTAGAGCTTAAGGTTGTCATTTCTTGTTGTTTTTGAGGTTCACATGTCATAAAAATAGGATCTTGGTTGCTATGTTTCACCCATTCAAGATTTTGAGGTCATTATAGGATGATATGGAACTGGGGTTTGGTATTGTGCTCCATTAATCCATGCAAAGGCATAAAGTCAGGAACTTTATCACTCTAGACGTCCATTAGGTTCAGATTTGAGAATTGGACGTTTGGTCTTAAGGATTTAAGGACTTATTGAGAAAGTTGGGAAACAGTGTTGGTATGCGGGGCGTAATCTTGGCTACGCAGTGTGTAGCCTGATTTTGTCCCGATTTCCATTCGAAGGCTCTACGCTAGGCGTAGAGCATGGTAGCATGGCGTACCCCATAGATGTTGACTTTTGGTCAAAACAGACTTTAGGTCAAGTTCAGTGGATCATGGCCATGGAAGGGTAAAATGGTCTTTTACCCTAGAGAGAGAAAGTATGTAATGGAACCTTGATTATGGATTATCACCTTAATTGCTAATTAGGGTTGTTTTGTATATGTTTAGTGTGAAGAGCTTTTGTAGCAGCAGCTCGAGTGTGACTTTTATCTGGCTATCGATTGAGGTGAGTGTCTTCACTGTACTTGTGGGTCGAAGGCACCAATGTCAGCCCACCGGATTGTGTTATGTAGAATGTTAGTTGTCTTTGTGACTCTTGTATGTATGATTGGGTTTAAATACACCCCAAGTTTAGTCCCATTATTGTATGTTTGGATTGAGATAAACCGTAGGGTTGGGCTCATTATGGTATGATTGGGTTGAAATATACCCCATGGTTGGGCCCATTATTGTATGTTGGGTTGGAATATACCACAAGGTTGGGCCCACTGATTAGTATGGTATGTGGTGTTTTGGAGAACTCACTCAGCTTTGTGCTTACAGTTTCATGTTAATGTTTCGAGTAATTCCGGTTCGAAAGGGAAGGGCTCGGCATGATCACACATCATCCCCCTTATGATTCCGCATTGATTATTATTTTACTTTGATGATTTTGATACATTGTATTGTGATTGATTTTGAGACACCTGATGTATGGATCGATGATTTTTAAAATGAAAAATTTTACCTCTATTTTTAGGTTGTTACATGTTGTTGTTGTTGACGTTGTCGTCTTCGCCTTAATATGTATGTAAGTAGTTTCGCATTCTATATTGAAATGGGTTCATGAATGTGATGCTTATCCACGAGAAAATAGTATATGTTTATCCAAGAAATAGGATTCAGGAATAGATCGTGATAGGCTATGTCATCTTTTAACGTCTAATTCACTCAACCTGCACCTTTCATGTCAAACAAGATTTAAGCAACACCTTTCTAAGCCTAGTGGGTATGGGCAACATGTTATAACACCAAAAAGGTGCCACCTCACATCACCCATAGTGTTATAACATCATTGTAGGAAATGGTCACCATGTTATAATACACCCATGGTGTTATAACGTAATTTGTTCTCGTTTGTGTCGCTCCTTCTCCTCTCTTGCAAAGGAAATTTGAGTGCTCAAGTTTCAACTCATCTGAAATCTCATCGGTGTCAGCGTTGAGGTCGATGTGAGTATGTGTGTCTGAAACGTCCAGCGTACTCGAATTTCGAGACCTCTTCGATTAAACCTCTATTGATGTAGGAGTTTTAAGCCATTTTGCATCTATTCAAATCATCCCCCATACTTTATCAAACTCAAACACATGACACATCACGACCCGACTGAAGCATGTTGTAAAATGCCTTGAATTTTGTGCACTGCCTATTTATTTGAGTCCATTTACTATTAAGCATATCGCAACTGCGATATGGTTTTCTATTCAAAAGACCGTGAAATTTGGCGAGCACTACTTCCCAATAAGCACCTTTCTTCTGTCCATTTCTGTGACTTTCATTTTTTGAAGTCCCACATCATGCTTCCGCTAAAGTGTATTCCTCCTCCGGTGTCCATCATTCTGGAATTTCTTCATTTTCCGTGACAACAACTTTTCCTTTCCCTTTCCCTTTTCGTTTCCCTTTCCCTCTTCCCCTCCTGCTTGTGTTTCGGTAACGACTTCGACCAATGATTGTGTTGGTGGTGGTTAGGTGGTTGTTTGTGTTTGTGGCAATGAAGAGAAAGTCCGGAAAAGGTTTTGTTGTAAATTTGGGTTTTGTCCAAAAAAACAATTGTTGAATGTAAGGTGATGAAGGGAATTGGATTGGAGGTGAGGCGGGGTTGAAACAAGTTCTTTGGTATGGGATTTGTGGTGAACTTTGAAAGGATAATAGGTTAAAATAATTTTCGTAACCGGCAAATTCGAAAGGAGAGGTTGTGTTTGATTGTGGGTTTGGGTTTGGTGGAGGGGTGTTTGGGTTTTACTCCATTTTTTTGGTTGAAGTAGTGAATTTTATAAATGTAGAGAGAAATGAAAGAATGGTGTAAAAAATATGGGGTAAAATGCGTAGTATTTATAGGTAAGAAAATAAGTTTTTTTTATTAACTTGACCGTTTATCAACGGTGTAGTAAGCAACGGTCATAAATCTCCCGTTTCAATCCGTCGTAAAGCGCACAAGAGGCACCATAATGAGGAAAGGGGCGGTGTGCTCCCCGTTATCATGTCGTTATGGGCATGTCATATCAGCCTTAATGGTGTTGTGGTGACCCATACTGCTTCGTCTAATAAATCTATCTGATATACCAAATAAATTATATATCAACTTACCATAATAGCATATTTTAGTAAAGATTATATAGGCACAATATAATTTTAGTCAAAATAAACTATATTGATGTGTATAGTCCAAAAATAAGATTCTAGTTTGAAAAATATCAAAACTAACATATAAACTTGTAGCATAAAATAATAAGTCCGTGATATACCAAAATACATTATATATCAATTTACCGTCATAGCGTATACTAGTAATTTTATATAGGCATGCTATAGTTTTAGTGAAAATGACCTATATTGCTATATGTATATATGATGGCCAAACCTAAGAGTCTAGCTTGAAAAATATCAAAATTAGCAAGCTAATCAATGATTCCTAAAATCGTGAAATCAGCCAAATTAATCTACCTAAATTGTGTAGTGAGTTTCTAAATGATTACATATATAAAGAGGGGTCAATTGAGGTATGGAGTGCTATAAGGTATTTCCAACAAAGTTTCTATAAATTAGTTATTAAACGGATTGCTCAGCTGTTGAAAATGGGTTCGAGGGAGGAGGATTTCGCATATGCAATGCAACTGGTTACCTCTACATCATTGACCATGGTGTTGGTGACTGCAATCAAGCTCAAGGTATTCGAGACAATAGCCGAGGCGGGGCCCAGTGCACAACTCTCGGCTCATGAGATCGTGTCTCGTTTGTCCATTACAAACCCGAGTGCCCACCAGATGCTCGATCGAATGTTTCGGTTGCTCGCTAGTTATTCGGTTGTTACTTGCAATCAACGAGACCATGAGTTGGGGTTGGTTCGAGTGTATGGACTCACCTCTGTTGCCAAATACTTTATTCCAAACAAAGATGGGGTCTCTTTATGTCCTGTTATGGAGTTGCTTCAAGATAAAGTGTTCATCGAAAGTTGGTACGTCGAATTGTACCCGTAATTTTAGTTTTAGTTTTAATCGTATTTTCTACGAATTTTGATTTGCATATTCGATAAAAAAAAATGAATCAACCATATTTTTATACAGTAAACATCAATTTAGTTTATTTTAGATTATCTATGATAATAGAATTTATCAATCAAGTAATTGATGACATGAGTTATAGACGTATTTAATATGCATAAAGTCTGATAATAACGTATTTTTTTATTTATCTCACTTAAGTTGTTTTTCTCTTACAAACCTATTCACTGTACTTTTAAAAAATGTATCATTTAAGTCATTCGGTAAAAAAACATCTCGACATTCTTTCGTCGGTTCATCAATATTTTGGTTTAATGCAACTATACACTTTAACATTTACGAAGTGTATTAGTTGAAATTCTAACAAGTCACAACAATTATCCCAACATATTTTCAAAATACTTTGTTGCTAACTAATATATTTTGTCAATTGTTTAGTTTTTTTTTTTTTTCTTGTTGATTCTTAGCATATGTACTTTGTATATGATCTAGACTGATTGTATTTAACCAAAATACTGATGATGAAATTACTAAAAAGTTAACATGCCTAATGTTGTGAATCATAACCATAGACACGCAAGGAAACCGACAAATAAAATTGAGAATTATATGTCGATTAGTTGCGAATAATAGATCCAATTATAATTAATATAATTACCAAGTTTCGTCCAGAAACCAGATTAATCATTCTCGATTAGATCTGATTATAAGAAAGGTAGAAGGAGAGTGTCCTATTATTGGACGAAATTAAAAACAAGACAATTATGTAAAACCAACATGTTGACGGCTGATCTTGGATCTTGATTGTGTAATAACTGCATGGATCGAACTCCTGTCTTTAAAGGTTTTTACGTCGTTTTTATCGGCTGTAAGCAACAGAGTAAAACCCCAAGATTTAATGCAGATTTACTGAGTTTCCAACAGCAATGGAAACGATAAACGCAAAGTGAATACTAAGAAACCGGGAAGAAATCGCAAAGAGAAAGAGAGAGCTTTCAATTTTCGGACATGAAATACGGCTCCCAGAGAGTTGTATTTATAGGTATTGAAACCCTAGAAGGCAATAAAGAGGCCCCTCTTGGGTCGGCCCATAGAAACCCTAGGGCGACGACTTGTTCTCCAAGCTATCCGTTTTCTAAGCCTTCTAGAATATTTTGTTGTCATATCCACGAAGTCAACCGTTTGACCAGACCGGTCAAACCGATTTGACCCGAACTTCGTCAAAAATAGAAGCTCCTCAGCTCCCAACGACCGATGCATCATGCTAAGTGCCAAGTGCGCCTAAATTAGGCCATTTCGCGCACTCACGACGTCAGCTAGTGCTAGGCTAGGCTAGGCTAGGCGCGCGTGTGTGGGTTTGGCCCATTTCTTTGATCCACTAAAGCTTTTGAAGGCCTATCAAGTGAAAAGACTTATAAACCTACACAAGGTTTCTTCCCCCACCAATGTGGGATAAAGGAAAATAGTCAACTTGCTATTATACCTTCATAGTTTCCAACAATCCTCTACCAAGTTGGAAAGTTTCCTTTCACTCAGACATATGATGTCACTCGGGTGTCACGAAGATTAAACCCTAGTTTAATGAGAACAAACAAGAAGAGACCGATTCAATGGTATCCGTATAGGTTTAAACCATGAACCTTGTGACCTCTCCAGTTTACCCCTACACATCGCATGCCGTCTTTGCGTTCTCCCTGTGCGCTAATATGGTCATGTGCTATAAATTCTTTTCATGACCCTTTAGAAGATAAACCACTAATCTTCGCTTGAGGCAGCACCACCTCTAGATCATATAGGCAAACTTTTATAACATCTTCGTTGCTTAGATGTCTCCAAAACTTTGTTAAGAGTTGTAAATCAACCTCGTTCTCGGCAATGACGTATTATCCTACCTCACATAGATCTATCATTAATGATAGTACCTTCTATCGTTAGTGACTTCATTGTTACCCTTTAAACTTGAGAATTAGGAGCACTAATGCCAAGTTGGGTTTCCATCACTAAGCGATTCTATTGTGGTCTTATACCCATGACTCTCGTGGTAAATGTAACCAAATCTCTCGTCGGATGTTTGGTAAACGGATATGCCAAGTTCCTACTTGTCTTGACATAGATAACCTTGATGATACCACTTTCAATTAGTTGTCTCACAAAATTATGTCTCATACCTAGATGTATCGACTTCCGATTAGATACCGCATTACATACTTTAGACAGTGTGGCCTCACTGTCACAGTACATGGGTATTGAAGGCATTGGAATATCCCACAGACGGATATCCATAAGTAGATCACGAATCCACTCTGCCTCTTTGCCCATTGCTGCTAAGGCAATTAGCTCTGCTTCCATCATTGAATGAGTTATGCATGTCTGTTTCTTGCTCGCCCAAGAAATAGCACCGCCAGCTAGAGTATAAACCCAACCACTTGTGGATCTCGAGTCACTGGTGTGATCTATCCAACTAGCATCAGAATACCCTTCTAGAATTCCATTTGATGACGAATACATCAACTTAAAAGTACTTGTCCTTTTCAGGTATCCTAGTACTCTACCCACTGCCTTCCAGTGCTCTGTCACTGGATTGATAGTATATTGACTCAGTTTGCTTACAGCGAATGTGATGTCAGATCGAGTGCAATGAGTAGCATACATCATGCTCCTAATTGCACTTGCATATTCTAGTTGAGCCACTACTCGTCCAGAATTCACATTTCGCACTTGAATCAACAGCAGTGTTGAATTCCTTAATATTCAAATGTTGAAACTTTGTCTGAATTTTCTCTATGTAATGAGATTGACTCAGAGAAATCTGATTGCCTGTCCTTTTCACCTTGATACCAAGAACTGTATCAACTTCACCAAGATCTTTCATCTTAAAGTTCGAGGATAGGTATTTCTTCGTCTCAAGAATACCTTCTAGGTGAGTGCCAATGATCAACATATCAACAATATAAAGACATATTACTACTATGTAATCGGATGTGTATTTGGAATAAATACATTTGTCAGTACTGTTATGCTGAAATCCGAAAGCAGTCACAGTGGTGTCAAATCTCTCATGCCACTATTTGGGAGCTTGTTTCAACCCGTACAACGATTTAACAAGTCTACAAACTTTGTTTTTCTGTCCGGGTATCACGAAACCTTCAGATTTCTCTAAGTAAATCTCCTCCTTAAGATAATCATTCAGAAAGGCTGTCTCCACATCCATTTCATGAATGTACAGTCCTTTCAAAGTTGATATTGCTATGACAGTTCTAATAGAAATAATCCTAGCAACTGGGGCATAGGTATCAAAATAATTGATCCCTTCTCGCTGCCTGTAGCCTTTAGCAACTAATCTTGCTTTATAGGCAGATATGGATCCATCTGGATGATATTTTCTCTTGAATATCCATTTAGATCCTATGGATCTCCTCCCCTTGGGTAGATCAGCTAACTCCCAAGTTCCATTACCCATAATTGAGTCCATTTCATCATTGATGGATTCCTTCCACAAAGGAGCATCTCTAGACGTCATGGCTTCAGTAAAGGTCTTAGGATCATCATCCAAGTTAATGGAAAAGATGACCTCTCTTGTCACTTTCTTTTGTGTTCCTTCGACCAGATAAGAATAGAAATCGTCTCCAAAACTTTTCTCTATTCTAACCCTAGTGCTTCTCCATGGTTCCTCCACAATAGGAAAAGGTGGGAGTATTTCTCGAGAAGTACTTGTAGGTGTTGTATGACTAGATTTTTCATCATCCCTAGAAAACTTGTCCTCAAAGAATTCCACATCTCTGGATTCCACAACAACACATGATTCAGTATCTAATAAATGGTAAGCCTTGCTATTGTGAGCATATCCAATAAATATACTCTTATTAGCTCGTGCTCCCATTTTGGTTCGCTTAGGAGAGGGAGTCCGATAATAAGCAACACACCCCACACTTTCAAATAGTCTTGGTTAGGCTTTCTACCTTTCCATAACTCATAAGGGCTTGTAGGAATCACACGACTAGTGATCCTATTATGAACATAACAAGCAGTCAATAGTGCTTCCCCCCACAGATTGTTTGGTTGACCCGATTGGTTCAACATACAATTGACCATTTCACAAAGGGTTCGGTTCTTTCTTTCAGCCAAACGATTTTGTTGGGGAGTATATGGTGAAGTTCTCTCATGTTTAATTCCATTCTCTTCACAGAATGTGCCAAACTCTTGGTTGAAGTATTTTTCGCCTCTATCCGAGCAAAGAATTTTGATGTGTCTTTCAAGTTGATTTTCGAATTCAGGCTTATACAGTTTAAATGCATCAAAATCTTCATCTTTTGATCTCAACAAATAAACATGTAGATATCGACTGGAGTCGTCACAGAATGTGATGAAATACCTTTTTCCTCCTCGAGTAAGTATTCAATTTAATTCACATATATTATAATGAATCAACTCAAGTAATGATGTATTTCTCTTAACTTATGGAAATGGTTTCTTTGTAAACTTTGATTTCATACAAGTTTCACATTTTTCAAAATCTTTTGAGTCATATTTTAACATTCCTTTAGTTTGCATTTTTTCAATGTTCTTAACATTAGTGTGTGCTAAACGTTTATGTCATAAAGAAACTGAACAAACAAAATAACCAGAAAAGTTCACTTCATTCACATTAGCAGCCAATCCATCAATTATATCATTATTAGTAACACTAGACACACTTGAAACACTCGCACTAACACCATTACTCTCAACACTAGACCCATTTGCACTACCATCATCACTAAGACACAAACGATACATTCCTGAACAATTATTCGCCCTCCCAACATATCATCTGCCCTTAGTGATCGCAATTTTGCCATTCTTAAGCACCATCTTGAACCCACCTTTGTCAAACTTGTCCGCAGAAACCAACCCCTTCAAGATAGTAGGAACATGAAGAACATCTTGAAGGGTAACCCATTCACCACGTGTGAACTTCAGACGAACATCACCTATTCCTTGAACTTTAGCTTTGTGACCATTAGCATAGACAACTATCGTTCCTGGTGGAATTGGACAGTAAGTGCGGAAGCTCTCTCGTTGCCCACAAACATGCACAGTGGCTCCAATATCTACAAACCATCCTCGAGCATAGATTGCTCGGGTAAGCGAAGAGATCATGAAAATCTCTCCAAGGGTCACACTTGCCACCATATCAGTCACTTGCTCAACTGCATGTGCAACCGGTCCTGATTTGCGATCTTTGCATTCTCTCGCATAGTGCCCAATTTCTCCGCAGACGTGGCAAGGTCTGGCCCTCTTCGGATTTGATTTAGGATTCTGATGACTTGGTTTCTTGAAGCTTTGTTTCTTAGGTCCCAAGTTCCTTTTGTTTTGTCCCCCAAACTTGGTCTTATGACCAGAACCCCCAGTTTGATACACAGTGCACACTTAATCCGACTTTACCACGCTTGTCTCTGATGCGAGTTTCTTCCTCAATGCGAAGGTGTTTCATCAGATCATCCAAGGAGTAGTCCTCAGATTTGTGCATCATTATCTTAGAGAAGTCTTTCCACGAGGGTGGCAGTTTTGCGATGATCGCACCAACCTGAAAGAGTTCTGGTATCGAGATAGAGAGCATGTTCAACTTGTTGACCATGACCTAGAGTTCATGCACTTGTTCCATGATAGGTTTGTCATCGGCCATTTGAAACTCTAAGTACTTTGACACTAGGTACTTGTTGGTAACTTCCTCATGTACCTTGTACTTGAGTTCCAAAGCACTCCATAACTCTCTCGGATCTTTGACCGGCGCGTAAAGATCATAGAGCCGATCAGACATTGAGTTCTTGATGTGACCCACATACAGTTCCTTAGACTCTCTACGCAGAGCCCTTTGCTTTTCCATATCAGAGATGATCATTGGATCCATAGTTTTCCTCGCCTCGGGAATTGGATCAGCAGGAATTGGGGCCGGTTTTGGGTCCAAAACATAGGCGATCTTTAGCACATAAAGCATGAACTTGACCTTGTCAGCTCAGCGGGTGTAGTTCTGACCATCGAATCGGTCAAGCTTGGCAAACTCTTAGTTCATGTAATGGAGACTAGCAGTTGGGATTTGGGTATCCATTAGTCTGTTGATTTATAAACACAAATTATAAAAAAAACCTTTAAGATTGTTGTGAATCATAACCATAGACACGCAAGGAAACCGACAAATAATATTGAGAAGTATATGTCAATTAGTTGCGAATAATAGATCCAATTATAATTAATATGATTACCAAGTTTCGTCCAGAAACCAGATTAATCCTTCTCGATTAGATCTGATTATAAGAAATGTAGAAAGAGAGTGTCTTGTTATTGCACGAAATTAAAAACAAGACAATATTGTAAAACCAACCTGTTAACGACTGATCTTGGATCTTGACCGTGTAATAACTGCATAGATCGAACTCTTGTCCTTAAGGCTTTTACTTCGCTTTTATCGACTGTAAGCAACAGAGTAAAACCCCAAGATTTAATGCAGATTTACCGAGTTTCCAACAGCAATGGAAAACGATAAACTCAAAATGAATACTGAGAAACCGGGAAGAAATCGTAGAGAGAAAGAGAGAGCTTTCAATTTTCGTACATGAAATACGGCCGCTAGAGAGCTGTATTTATAGGTATCGAAACCCTAGAAGGCAATAAAGAGGCCCCTCTTGGGCCGGCCCCCTAGAAACCCTAGGGCGACGACTTGCTCTCCAAGCTAGCCGTTTTCTAAGCCTTCTAGAATATTTTGTTGCCATATCTACGAAGTCCGAACTTTGCCAAAATAGAAGCTCCTCATCTCGCCATTTCGCGCAATCACGACATCAGCTAGTGCTAGGCTAGGCGTGTGTGTGTGGGCTTGGCCCATTCCTTTGATCCACTAAAGCCTTTGAAGGCCTATCAAGGGAAAAGACTTATAAACCTACACAAAGTTTATTCCCCCATCAATGTGGGATAAAGGAAAATAGCTAACTTTCTATAATACCTTCATAATTTCCAACACCTAATTCTAGTTAAGGTTAAAATTAGGCATTAAACTATTAAATTTATGCTAATTAATAACTAAACTTTGTTTAAGATTTAAAATGTCTCTGAATTTGTTTTTTTAGTTAGTTTGGTTGGTTAGATATCACTAAATTTGTTTTTTGTTATCTAAGGCCATTGAATTTTTTCTTGACTGTCTAGTTTCTTACACTTTTTTTACAATTCATTTTTATAACTTTCGTTTTTACATTTTCTTTTACTTCATTTTTACATATTTTTCACATTTGGTTTGTTGTAACAAATTATGAAAATGTTTTAAGAACAAAATAAAAAATAAAGTTGCAAAAATGGATTGTGAAAAAAAAAAAGATATGAAAAAATGAATTTTGAAAAACATTTAAAAACACAGTAAAAAAAACAATTAAAAATGAAGTCGTAAAAACGAATTGTGAAAATCATGTAAAAACAAAGCAAAAAAATTAAGTTGTAAAATCATATTGTGAAAAAACTTGTAAAAAAGAAAAATAGATTATGAAAAAACTTGTAAAAAAACAAATCACAAATTAAGTTGTAAAAGGAATAGTAAAAAACAAGTAAGAGATCTAGCCAAATAAAAAAGTTTAATGACCTTAAATCATCTTTAATGGTTGAATCTTCTAAAACTTTTTATATTTTCAATTATTTTAATTTAACAAAATACTATCATCCTGGTCATTGGTCATAAATCGTTTTCCACAAAAAAAAAAAAAAAAAAAAAAAAAAAAAAAAAAAAAACCTTGTTAGTCTATCTTTATCTATATGAAATTTTATAAAACATCATTATCTAGTTTTATCTTTTAAGCATACATAACTAGAACACTATATTTTATGTTACTAAATGGTATAACATCAAATTTGGTGTTGCACCATTCACCAACATCAATTCGGTTTAGAGCAACTTTACACCAAATTTGGTGTAAAAGTTAGGCTTTAGAGTTGGGTTTATACCAAATGAGATAAATTTTGAAATTACAATGACTATGTATGTATGAAAAAAAAAACATCCAATTGGAGACGTCAAAACTATTTTGTTATATACTTATTTTATGATTGATCTCATTCCATATAATACTCTATTTGGTCAAATATGTAACACATAAAGTATGTATGTATGTATTTGTGTGCATGTATATATGTTTGCATGTATGTATGTATTGACATTACATTCTTTTTCTATTCCTTGAACAAGGTTTAAACTTAAAGATGCGGTGCTAGAAGGTGGTATTCCATTTGACAAGGTTCATGGAACACATGCATTTGAATATTCAGCATTAGATGCAAGGTTCAACGAGGCTTTCAACAATGGCATGTTGAATTTTACTACGATCATGATGAATGAAATTCTTGAGTGCTACCATGGCTTTGACAACCTCAAACGTGTTGTTGATGTTGGAGGTGGTCTTGGAGTTGCTCTCAATATCATTACATCAAAACATCCCACCATTAAAGGCATTAACTTTGATTTGCCACATGTGATCCGACATGCATGCACCAGTTTATCCAGGTATATTCATCTAGTCGTTAGGCACACAATCAAACAAAAACCATCACAATGAGGTTGGTTTCTTGATTTTAGTTTTAACAAGTTAGAAATTGATGATGAATGTAGGTATAGAATATATCGGAGGAGATATGTTTGAAGAGGTTCCGCAAGGTGATGCCATTTTTATGAAGGTAATTAATTTTCCTCAAAACATGTTATATACGTTTTGAATTTAACAAATTATTAACTAATGGAAATATGAAATCCATTATAATAGTGGATACTGCATGACTGGAGCGATGATCATTGTGCAAAGTTGCTAAAGAATTGCTACAAGGCTTTGCCAAATGATGGGAAAGTTATTATAGTTGAATACATTCTTCCTTTTTTGTCAAACACAAGCTCTTTTGACAAACTCACTACACATATGGATGCAATCATGATGACACAAAACCCTGGAGGAAAAGAGCGCATGGAGGATGAGTTTCTTGTGTTAGCTAAAGGCGCGGGATTCGAAAAGAATGTTGTGTTTGTAACATGTATGTGATTGAATTTTACAAGTAGAGAGTTATGGGTTTGATATTTGTTAGAATAATTTAAAAGAAATCTTTTATGTAATAAAACAAGAACATGTCATAAGGAAAGATGTAATCCCTTTAATCATCTCTTCAATACAAAAAAAAAATGGGTCATCCTGTTAACTGTGAAACATGTATCATTGTCATTTTACAAGACTACTACTTAATGACATGACAGGTGGCATCAACGTCTTCTTACTGCTGCACTTTGTCCCCGGGGAGCGGCACCAACTGCCTGCGGTGTTGGAGCACCACCGCCACCACCAGCCGCCTGTTCCTCAGGCAGGTTCATGGCTTGGGTGACAGCATTCATCACAACAAGTCCAAGAGGAATCAAGTACATCCACTGAAACAAGGGAATTATCAACATCAACTTCATCACAAACACTTAAAAAAAATAATAAATAAAGAAATAGAGCATTATGTAAAAGAAAGACAACTCACATATTTAGCCCAAAAGGACCTCTCCTCCAATGGCTTTACGCCTTCCTCATTTCCTACTCCTGCCTCAACACCACCAATAATATCTTCTGAAAATGATGGAGTCCTGTTTAAGTTGCAACAAACAACTTTTAATATTAGTATGAAAAAAAAAAAGGTGTGTGCAACTCTTTGTGGCAAATAAACCGGATTCTTTCTATACTCAAAAAGTGAAAAAAAATACAAAACATGGAAATTTCACCTTGGTGCCAGCTCACTGTACTTTAAGACTGTGTGAGAGTTGAAGGACCACTTTGAAGGCTGATTAAAAAACAACAAATCACATACCAAATATAAATGGTCAACTTATAAAAAACTAAAAAAAAAATAAAATTATAACATAGAGCACCCATGTTATTACATACTAACTTACCAGCCTCAACTCCCTAGGATACTGGCATCCCCCCAAAGAACCATAGTTGACAGCTAGAATGTTAACACCTTCCTGTGATGATACAGAATTAGTACAAGATTTATAACTATATGTATATTTGGTGTTATAATGAATGTAAATCAAGGAAATAAATAGGTAGATATATAATTTATAGTTACTGAAAAGTAGAATTACCATGTGTATAATAATATGTTCATCCAAGCTACCCTTTGGGAGACATCTCTGAAGTAAATAGAAAGACAGACAGCACTTTTAAGCAGCTTATATCACAATAAAAGAATGATGCATAATGTCTGGTTAATGGTTTTAAACTTACTGCCTTCACTGAGGAAATGACATACTCTTTCCCAGAAGGATGTAATACATTAGATGGTAACCTAATTCTGTAGAAGTCATCACTTTCCAGTAGTTGCTGAAGAAACATATCATCAACAAGCAGATTAGAGTCAAAACAGGTAAAAGTTTAAACAGAATCGATATAATCAGCAAGAGTAAGTGGATGAAGAATCACTTTAAACTTCTCCTTCTCTGTTGCAGTAAGATCATGCCTTGAAAACCGAAGCTTTGTAAGAATCTGATTCACATAATAGATGCCAAATCAGCAAAGAGATTAAAGATCTTCTTATAATGTTAGAGGTATAGAACTATACAAGGAACACATGCATATATCAGCTGCAAAGGGACAGTTATACTGAGCTTCATGGCATGACAAAGTGACAACAGTGTATGCTATTTTTATTTGCATTCAGTTACTTCACAAAATATTTCTTTTGACAAGTTATTAATCTTCAGACAGACTAAGAAAGATAGCTATGAAATTTTGAGAGGCAATGGTAAACCCTATGTTTCTTCCATGTGCAGTTACCAATAATCATATACGTTTGAAGCCATCAACAACTGGGAAATCCTGAATCAAATAAATAACAAGCAGTGTTCGGCTTCGCAATTGATATGTTTTTTTTTTTTTTTTTTTTTTGCAATTCAGAGTAAAGAATCAACTACATACAGTAAATCGCATAACAAACACCACAAAATGAGAAAGACTTTCAGTTTAATTCCTAGCAAATCTAATCAGTAATCAGGGACTAGTTCTGTAGTATAAGATTCAAATTTGCAGCACTCGTATACTCCACATCTCCATACAAATTCACCACCAACTATAAAACCATCATACCTGTCCGCCATGAGCAGAAGTCTTAAGTCGAGCAGTAAAAGTGCCGGCGGCGGAGAACTCATCGGAATCCTCGAACGCGTGTTCAAGAGCGAACTGAACTCTAGAGTCAGATTCAGAATCTGCCGATCTCTTCCTAGTAGGTTGTGGGGGGGAATGAGGAAGAGATATGACTGGAGGTGATGATACCGTGACATCGATATCAGGTGAACGGCCGCCTTCTAGACCAAATTCTTCATCGTCGACGAGAAGCTCGTCGGATTGAAAAGATGAATTCGATACTATCAAGAGAGTGAAGAGGAGCAGGAGAATCAAAGATTTGGGGAGTTTCATCGTGGAAGGGTGGAGGATTTGCAGATCAAACCACTGTGCTTGTATACAAGAGTTCCTACCCAGCCCCTTCTTTTCAACCCTTTTTCTTGTTGCATCTTCTTTTATATATGATCTGATAACGAATCAAAATGTTTAAACAGGTAAAAAGGGTTAATGTCACAATGGTAACTTGATAAATACAATTTCAAATATTTTACTTTATCTATTCACAATCTTCTACAATAATAAATAATAATAAATGAAGATCAATTTTGTCGCATGTCAATTTTTTCATAAGTTTTGACACTTGTTATTTTGTGATATTTTTAAAATAAATAATATTCACGTGTCAATTTTCTGTTTTTTCAATTTTTAAAATTAAAAAGTCGTATAATACTTATATTTATATATGTAAAGTATTAAATGTAATAAATGTGATAGTAATAAGCGTTTCTTCTTTCCTTATTTCGCAATTTTATTTTAAAAATACTTATTGTTTACACTTTGATATTTAATCTTTTTTTAATCAACCCGTGTAATATACGGGTCTTACACCTAGTTATCTATATATAATTCATTAAACTAACCGTCCAAAAAAATTTAAAGAAAATAACCATTTTTTAGATTTTAAAAAGGTTATTTTTATAAAAAACCCTATATTTAGATTCTTTTTCTTTTTAGACCTAAAACTTTTTTCTTTTCTGAAAAAAGACTCAATTTTTACATATTACTTGTTATTTTAGACCCTAGCAGGTTACCAAAAGGGAAATCAAGTATTTTCATTTCATAAAAAAACCCTACATTTTGTACTTTTTTCCAGTTTAGACTTAAAATGTTTTTTTTTTTCAAAATAAACTCAACTTTAAAATGGTTACAACATTTAACATTAGTTGTATAAGGTACTTAATTACACCGATTTAATGAAGCTTAACTTCGTTCATGCATAAAAACGTGATTATATCCTTTCAGATTAAAATGAAATCCTAAATTTTATTTTGGTAATTATTATGATTATCCTTAAGATTCAATAATAGTGATATTCAAACACCATGTATTGATTTAAACACCATGTATACATAAGATAGGTTAATAAAATGAGGTAGTAGGCCAACTATTCATTTTTCTTTTCTCTACAACAAAATTTCATAGTTTTGTCAGTTTTGCTCATTCACTACATTCCAACCATTGTTAATAATGTCAATCATCGTATTTTAATATTTAAGTGTGCGGTGTCATTCTTGTTATTTAGATTTTCAACTTATGCTCAAACGATTTTATTCCTAAAATATAGTTTTATGTATTCATACGTGATGTTAACATTTTTTAAGAAAGTCTTAAACTTGAATCTCATATATCTAAACAAAACTAATACAATGTTTAGGATTAATATTTTTATGTATTTATTTGATATAATTATAACATATTATTTAATAATATGCTAATGCTACAAAATATTCTATGGCTTTGGTTTAGGGTTATGATAATGAGTGCGTTTGTTAACTGTTCTAAAAAAATTGATTAAAAAATTCGGCCAAAAAAATAATATAGAAAAGTGAGAGAGGGAAATATGTCCAAACTCACCAAATAAGTATAATAGACAAACTAAAAAAATTATTTTGTATACAGTTTGTTAAATTATATGGTATTTTTTTCTACAAATAAAAAAAATTGTTATTATGCTAAAAGATTATTCTTAGCCATGTATTATCCATGTTACCAAATTAACATCAAACTGTTTATTATCGATAATAATAACATTTTCTATAAACAATATATCATGTTTAATGATATGTATATATATATATATATATATATATATATATATATATATATATATATATATATATATCCAAGATAAAGTTTAATTATATCTTTTAGACAAAAATAAAATTTTGCAATTCTTTTAGGTTATGTTCGCTCAAAAGATAATAGATTAAATAACATTTTTTAGTGTATACATGTATACTTTCTTTTCGGTGTAGTCAAGATATACTTTATATATTTGGTCTCGAATATTATAACCAATTTTAAAGTTGAGTTTATTTTGAAAAAAAAAAACATTTTAGGTCTAAAATGGAAACAAGTACAAAATAATGGGTCTTTTATGGAACAAAAATACCTAATTTACTTATTAGTGACCTGCTAGGTCTGAAATAACAAGTAACACATAAAAGTTAGGTCTTTTTCGGAAAAGAAAAAAAAATTAGGTTTAAAAAGAAAAAAAGTCAGAATATAGGGTCCTTTATGGAAATAAGCCTTTTAAAAATAGCGTTTACATCTGAATAGAGTTCACTGTAAAGAACTATCTTGGTTCAACCGTTCAAATACAGACAGGGTATAGTTAGAAATGTTTTGTTTGGCATATTTAAGCGTGTTGGGGTTTCCGCCAAGAGAGAGGCATCTGTGAATTTTTTGACTGACCCGGCAGAAGGAAGGTCAACCTTTACACCGACTGACGTTTTGATTTCTGGATGGGTTTTTGGAAACACATTTGTGTGGACCTTACAGAGTTACAGGGGTATCCCCTCTCGTGAGCTTAACGGTTGGGAGTTTCAAGGTGGGGAGACACTGTTTTAAAAGCTGCTATATGCAATGTCACAAAATATGAGAAGTCGTGCATGGAAAATCAACATGTGTTCATATCATTTACGTTTGATACGTTTGGTTTCCTCGCGCCGGATATGGTGGAGCTTCTTAATAGAGTACAACGGATCATGCATAAGAATGTTATATCCTAAATCTATGGATGTAGTTTTCATTCTTTAAAAAAGAAAGTCAAAGAAACTTTTCTAATTGTATCTGAAATATTTATTTCAAAATAATTAATATCATCGTTTTTCAATAAAATATTTGAATTTATGTTTTTTTATAACGACTTATATATGCACACAATAATTACTCCTAAATCTAAACATTTCCTGATTGAGGGACATTTATCTATCAACTTTTGATAATGACATTTGGTTTTTGATTTTATGTTCTAATATTGTATATTAATATTATATATAGTTCTTACTATTATATTTGTTTCACTTTTGGTTAAATTTTAATAAAAAAGATTTTTTTTTTAAATTGTGGAATTGTGAAAGACCCACACTTTCATATTTCTGAAAGACCAAAACTTTCATACTTGATAATTGTTATTCCAAAACATGCTACGTGCATATTCATAAAAACAATATTTTACATTGATAAAGTGATTACAAAAGACTGGATACAAACCGACTATTACAAAGTATTATATATTACACAACTACCCAGGATACTATACTTTTATACATACATGATCCCTAAATACAAAAGTAATATTATAACTATTCTAAACCTTCAAACAGTATACGACAATACTGGTGACTTATCTCCTGCAATTTGTTAAACATTGAGAGGGGTAAGTGGTGACACTTAGTGAGTTCAATAATAGATACAATATAACGTTATGTCATATATATACTTCAATATGGCAGAAGCAAAGAGGAACAAGAAACAACAAAGGCATATGTGAATCATGTGACAAACTTTCCATATCAAACAATTATTTGATTCAAAGATATACGATCAATGAGACATGACAATTTCTATACTTGATATACATCAATAAAGCTTCGGCCCAAATGGCACAGAAGATATACACTTTCTGATTTAAACATTTTGGTAGATTTCAGGCTGAAAGCCCTGTCTAACCTTCTGCCAATACCATAGAATAGAAGTCATTCTCTTACGAGACATGCTCTACATGGCCAGAGGCTACATACCAGTACCACCGTGAATCTAAGTCCTTTCACTGATCACATGGTCAAAGGTATAGCTTTGCTATCATAAACAGCAGAAATAATAACAACGAAAAAGCACATAGCACATATAACACATACATACAATTGTTCCTATATATTGAGCTCACCGTGAATTAATCGGGGGTTAAAATAGTAATTTGTGCAGCACTTCGTTACTATAATTAGCTTTCTTCGTTGAAAATTGGGAGTTTTCTTGAAAACCGGGCCCTGCAAGGGTTGGGATTCAAACCGAAAAGATAAATTTTTTGGGGTCTTCGGGAACTTCGGGCACTTCAGGGCGTGTTTCGTGTGTTGGAAATGATCCTGAGGCTTCGGGGGAAGTTGAAATAGTAAAAAACTAAAAATATAACTTTAGGGGTGAAAAAGTGCCAATTTCTAAAAATTAGCCGGGAGGTCTCGCACCCTTTATATAGGTGCGAGCCTCGGATTCGGAGCAAGGAGAAAGAAGCACGTGGCAGCTTCGCATGCGAGGTGGGGCAGGTGGCTCGTTCGCAGGCTGACACGGAGCGGGTGCGAGGGATGGACACACGTCAGTGCGAGGGCGAGTCATCAACGAGGGTCTCCGGACGAGCCACGACTCGGACACGCAGCAGGCTTCAGTTGGACCTCCCTTCGGACGTATCACAATCAGACACGCGGCATGCATGTGAGGCTCGTACGTGGACAATTCCGAGCCATGCATGCGAAATTCCTCGGATTTTGTGCCCAAACTTCTAAAATCCATAATTTTCGCATACAGACTCCGTTTTTGACGTTCTTTATATGCACGCGTAGGCGCGAATATATTCTACAACTTTCATTTAGACTTTGTCGGCTAATTTTGACTTTATTTTTAATATTATTATTTTTAATAGACCGGGACAGGAAAATCCGTTAAAAATTCATAACTTATTCATCTGACGTCCGTTTTCGTCAGTCTTTTTACCGTTGTACTACTCTTAACGAGACCTTCGATTCTCGTTTAGGTTGTGTCGGCTAAAAATCACTCGATCTTTATTTCGAGTTTTTAGCTGTCTACTACTATTCCGAAACTTAGAAAAATCATAACTTCCTCATACGAAGTCAGATTTGGACGTTCTTTTTATGAAAATTCTCGGTTTAACAAATACTACGACTTTCATTTAGATCACCAAGCTAAAAAGTAGTTTATCAAAAACTCACTTTTTACGTCATTCGGCGCCGTGTCGGTTTTGTCGCGGATCTTCGATTGGTCATAACTTCTTCGTTATAACTCGGATTTCGATGAGGTTTTCGCCTAAATGTTTTTAACGAGATTATTTGAAACTTTCAATAATAAAATTTTACTTATTTAAAACTTTATAT